GCATAGAATAATTTTTAGCTGCCGAAACCGACATTCTCACATACTGTGTTTGTGTAGGTTATACAATTTTTTGCCGCTTGAATTTTGTTTCGTTTAGTTTCGAGGGCTGATGTAGCGACCTGTACATATGTAGATTTTTCAACTTAAATCAATTTATCATATACATACATTGATTGTTACCAAAGACTATACAATACTAAGATGTTGCACGAGGAGCAAATGATCGTTCAATTTTCGTGTGACGCTTCTTGGTTCTGGCGCGCGGGGCATTTCGTCCACTTTCCTTTTGGCTAGCCTTTGCCACTACTTTCCGCGACAGAATACAGCAACAAAATATGGAGTCTGTGACGATGGGAAAAGGTCCAGGGCCGGATCAGCCCTTAGGTAGTTACCTAGAAAGGTAGTTACCTGTGCCCCTGCTGGGCGTACTCTCTACCACTGGCTGCAGTCCGTTGGGCGTTTTACGATCCATATAATTGCATTTAAAGATCTTTTTATATGAATTATGCCCACTCTGCCCATTCCTCATTTATGTTGCGGCAGATCAGCTCAGGTCGCTACATCAGCCCTCGAAACAAAATGAAAAACCAATTCAAGCGGAAAAAAATTGTAGAACCCACACAAACACAGTATTTGAGAATACATGGCACACACACATTTACGTAAACTAAAATCTCAAGCAATGTCGGTTTCGGCAGCTAAAAATTATTCTATGCATACAATCATATATTTTTGAGTGTTACATACATGCTTGCTGTCTGTCGGCTCGTGTCACGTAATGAGCCGAACGCGGTCATTCCCAGAGCCGAACGCGATCGGCCCCAGAGCCGAAGACCTGGGAACGTACGCTGAAAACTCAGCTGCAGTCACATCTTTATACTGTATGGTTAGTACACGAGCATATAATAATCGCAAGCCGACAATTCATTTTCCCAAGTGGCCTTCGCACAATTCTGATGACTTCCGCTTCAGAAAAATCACCCTGTTTTCCGCAGCGGTAGTTGCACTGCCGTTTGAACCATCCAACTCCATAACAGCGACGGCGTTAGAAAAACGTTTCTAGCGGGAAGATGAAAAACAAAGAGTACCACGCTCAAAAGACGGGAACGAGCACCGCAAACAAAACGTCTATGCTTATATGCAAGAGCGGCTGGTGTATATATAAATATATGTGGTCGATGACACTTGAAGCCGCAGCCAAACGACAATAACGAACAACCGGCAATATATGGAAATATTTTAATGTTAAATTGTAGTTTGTGATCGCACGATCACGTCGGCGTCACCAAATGTTTGGGTTTTGAGAGTTTTTAATAGCCGTTGAAACTCAGTTATTACAATTTATTCTTATTGGTAAGGCGGCAGTATGATGACCGATATAATTAAGCGCTGCTATGGATATGAAGATTATCACTCGTCTAACTACTACGAGATGGGCCGAAGTGCCAGCGCCCTAAGCAGAACGTCTTGAAAGAGAGCGAAAGCGAGCGATAAAAGGAGAACAGCTCGGGGCAGATGCTAAGCCGAGCACGAACGTCATATGGAACGCGAGAGACCAGCTTAGATGCTGCAACTGCAACAAAAAAGCGAAGAAGGCGAGATAGAAATGAAAGAGCGGCCGCTGCCGTGCATAGACATAGGCTAATTAACAGTGATTTGTACAGTGGACAGTGCAAATAATAAACAATGAGGATGATGTACGTTAGGCTGCTCCACTAATTATTATCTAAAGAATTTACGACTAAATAACGGGCTGTGCAACCCGACAGAAGCCTTTAATGATAAAAGATATGCGTTATAATTCATCGAAATTACCTTGTTTTTTTTCCTCATCTAAAAATTAATACAACAAAATGTGTGTGTTTTGAAGAAAAACTCACGTTCATATTTCTTGAAGAGGTAGGCAGAATTTGACCATCAAATCCCCGGAGTCACTATTGGCATTCTATTTTATTGATACTTTAATATTTAATGGATTATAAATCTTGATTTTAAAGTGATATCCATCGCCTCCTTACCAAAACATCAGTGGGTGCCATTTGTGTCAACGTGTCATATGAACCGTGTGTCTCATATATTTTTTGGCAACTAGCCCAGTATTGCGTCGGGTAAGCACAATCTCGCGTGTTTCCAAGTTTTCACCAGCAATCTGGTGTAACTTCATCTATTCTTGGAGCGTTAAATGTGCGTTCATGTGTTCCATCTTATCGTTTTCCGCTCTGATCATGACTTTGTAGTAATCGTTTGGCATGCGCTTTAACGTTCTAAATTAGAACTTCTAATGCAGGGGTCGGAAAACAGACTCACACATTTTTTTGGTGCGTTTGTGTGCGAAAACAACAGACACGAAACACACACGAATGCTTCTCTGCCGCTGAGGCAAGCGAGCAGAATATGAAGCCGTTTGTGCATAGCCCGAAGCATGTTTCTCTGTCGCGACGTCAGCAGAGCAGAATTGCCGCTACGTCATCAGGCAGAATAACGAAACCACTCGAAGTCTTTACGCTGTACGTGTGCCGACTGCGCTGCCCGAAATTTGTTCCTATGCACAGTGCATACGACGCTTCCGGTCTCTGCTCTAGTGCATGATTTTAATGAAGCAGTTTCTGTAGATATTTTAGAATTCCTCTTTTCATTGCTGTGTGAAGCTCTTGACACCGGTAAAGTTGCTTCTTTCCCATGAAGTATATTTGTAAGAATTTATGTTGTGCATCTTTAAGAGGTGGTAATGATCTACTTCGATGGTGAATCTGGCCTTTAATCTGTGAGTCGAGAGCAAAGTTAATACCATAGTAGAAATTGAACATTTACTCTTCAACATAAATTACCTTGAATGTTGGGTTAAGTCCGTGTTCTATCGGGAATTCCGCTCCAAATGAAGTCATTTGAAAACAGCTATTGTACTTTTGAGTGTTCGCTAAAAAATTTCGTGATTCTGGTGTTTCGCCCCAAAGCAAGGAATGCAATGGCTCTGGTGGCGGAACCAATAATCGCAATTTCACTTTGCCATTAAGGAAGCTCAATACAGGCGTTTCTCCAGCAAACTTCAATGCTCCTCAATGCACGCAAACTACTTTCATTGGACCAATGCAATCGAAAGGATGCGAGCTGTAGTCAATTGTTCAATCGTATAGAAACGTTGCTCTATTCAAATCAAGAATTTCTTCTTGCAGTTCGTTTACTATTGCGAGCTGTAGTCAATTGTTCAATCGTATAGAAATGCTGCTCTATTCAAATCAAGAATTTCTTCTTGCAGTTCGTTTACTATTGCGTTGTTGATCTGTGCGTATAGCTCTACGATTAGCTCTAATATAGCCGTTTCACGGACTGCCTCTCTTTGCTTTGTGTTCGAGAAATAGGAAGAAGGGACATATATCGTACCGAACCAACGCGGCGCAATTGTCGTTCTTCATCAATCAATTTATTCGCACTGTGCCATAGCCTAATTGCATTACGTCTTCGTTGGGAAAGATTTGATGTTTTTTGTCGCGGAATCTATATTAATCTGTATACATATGTTAATTATGATAATACTCACACAAAACATACAAATCAAAATTTTATGTAACACTTTCCACACAATTTTCCGACTTTTTCAACAAACAGGCAGTTTTAAACTTAAACTAAATGTTTTTTTTATACCCGTACTCAAAAAGAGTTACGGTGTACATTAGATTTTTGGTAAAAGTGGATGTGTGTAACGCAGAGAAGGAAACGTTTCCGACCCCATAAAGTATACATATTCTTGATCAGCATCAATAGTCCAGTCGATGTCTGTCTGTCTGTCTCTCTCGATGAGCGCCTAGATCTCAGAGACTATAAGAGCTAGGGCAACCAAATTTGGTTTCCAGACTCATATGATATCACACTGCTACAAGTGTATTTCAAAATTTCTCCCTGCCCCCTTCCGCCCACACAAATGACGAAAATCTGTGGCAGGCACAATTTTTAAGATACGATATAACTAAAAACGCAGTATCGTAGAGAATGACTATATCTACCAGTTTTTCCAATTGCTTTCCCCGCACATTTTTTTTTTCCATTTTTCCATTTTTTTTCTACATCTGTTATCTACATCTAGAATGTATATTCTACATCTAACATGTAGATTATACATGTACCATTTATATTCTACATCTTCTCCGCTGGCGGGCACTAACGCATTGAACGAGGCAGAGTGTGCGAGCGAGAAAGAGAGTGAGTAGCGGGTCATTTCCTGGAGGAGGTGGGGGAAGCAACTGAAAATTAATTTCTTCATTCTGGCTATAAAAGAGTTAAGGGGTATATTGTATTTGTGGTAAACGTGGATGTGTGCAACGCCGACCCCATAAAGTATATATATTTTTGATCAGCATCAATAGCCGAGTCGATAGAGCCATGTCTGACCGTCTGTCCGTCTTGTGTGTCGGCTGGATCTCGGAGACTATAAGAGCTAGAGGAATCAAATTTTGTTTCCAGACTCATGAGATATATCAAACTGCTGCAAGTGTATTTCAAAATTTCGCCCCGACCCCACAAAGGACGAGTATCTGGCAGGCACAATTTTAAAGATACGATGAAAATAAAAACGCGGTGTCATAGAGAATGACCAGATTGTCGAATCTTAATCAGATCGGATCATAATTATATTGAGTAGCGTGCGTTCTCTTTCTCGCTCACACACTCTGCCCTGTTCAGTGCGCGAGTGCCCGCTAGCGGAGCAGATGTAGAATATAAATGGTACATTTATAATCTACATTTTAGATGTAGAATATACATTGTAGATTTAGATAACATATGTAGTAGAAAAATGTCAAATGTAAATTTTTTTTTAAATTCTACATAAATCATAAGCTCAAATTATTATATATGACAGTACGGATATAAAAGTAGTGTTCTCGTTCAATATTATTTACTACATACAATGGAAATTTAATATTTAAGTAAACATTTTTAGATATTAAATGACACTTTCACGATACCAACGGAACAAATATTCAAACCTTTTTTGTTTTTTCTAGGAATCCCGGAAGTGTTGAAAGTAGCCCTTGGTGCTTTGTGGATGCTTCCAGTGAACGTATTATTGAACTTTGTGATATTCCTAAATGTGCGCAAAAAATTTGGCTAACCATTGCTTGGACGACTGGAGCAACAATCATTATTTTCATAATATTATTGTCCATATTACTTTTTCAAAGGAGAACATTCATGCACTATGGAATGAGAAATATTCAAAATGTATGTTATGTCTCACATTTGGAGCAAAAATATTATTTATCGAGTAAACATAACAGGCCTAGACTAGAAAGTCTTGGCTTGCACATTTTTTGGCTGATTTTGTCTTCACAGATTAAGATCGGCAGCTCTAGATCTTTTTTTATACCCGTACTCAAAAATGAGTTAAGAGGTATATTAGATTTGTGGTAAAAGTGGATGTGTGTAACGCAGAGAAGGAAACGTTTTCGACCCCATAAAGTATACATGTCTGTCTGTCCGTCTGTCTGTCTGTCTCTCTGTGTGTCTGTCCGTCTTGTTGAGCGCCTAGATCTCAGAGACTATAAGAGCTAGGGCAACCAAATTTGGTTTTCAGACTTATGTGATATCACACTGCTACAAGTGTATTTCAAAATTTCGCCCCGCCCCCTTCCGCCCACACAAAGGACGAAAATCTGTGGCAGGCACATTTTTAAAGATACGATAATACTAAAAACGCAGTATCGTAGAGAATGCCCATATCTACCAGACTGCCGAATCTGAATCAGATCGGAACATAATTATAGCCAGATTGACGAAATTAGTTTTCAGTTGCTTCCCCTGCCCCCTCCAGCCAACGACAACACAACTCATTTTCCTTCTCGCTCGCACACTCTGCCGCGCTCAGTGCGCAAGCAACCCCTAGCGGAGGAGATGTAGAATCTAAATGGTACATGTTTAATCTACATGTTAGATGTAGAATATACATAATATATGTACACTCATGGACAAAATAATAGGTGTGCTTTTTTTTTCTTTTTCAACTTTTAATTTCTAGTTCATATCTTCTCTAAGTAAAAAGTAAAAACAGTTTCACAAATCCTTTAATTTACAATAAATTTAAATATTTCCCGAAATCGGTCAATTTTGGCTGGACACAATAATAGGTGTACGAAGATAAATGTTTAAATGAAATCGATATTTCACTATTTTAGGTCTTGTTTTATATTAAATTGAGTGTCTGGCAGCTAATACCCGGTATATCCGCCATTATTTTGCAGGGATTTCTCCATTCGTCTTGGCATGGAGGATATTAACTTGCGACAAGTTCCAATTGGAATGTTGTACCTCCTCTTTTGACATGTAGATGTAGATAACAGATGAAGCAAAAAAATATAAAATTAAAAATTTTTTTTTTGTAATTCTAAAATTCTAAAAAATCATATGCTCAAAAATGTATATACTGACTGAGTACGGGTATAAGTCGCGTCCCCAGAAGCGACTCGCAAGTTCCTTCTCGTTTTTAATATGGAAGTACTATGAACTTTTGTATTCGACTGTTTGTCTGCTTACAGCGTTTTGGTCTTCTTATATTAGTCGCTTGGGAAAGAAAATATTTCGCTCAACATCTAGGCACTTAATCTTCAGAGCCTTCATGACTATTCTTAATTAGACTTGGTCTATTGCAAATGTACCTTCGCACATTTACATAATCCTCTTCCTGTCAGAATTCTGAAAAAGTGTCATAAGTGCCATAGCATACCATTATCCCTTACTCTTACATACAGACATTATGATGGTAGCGATATCAGTTACCAAATGTAAATAGTCAAACATGGCCATATATATGTATATGTAGCACACAAAGAAAATTTATTAATTTGTAGGATAAAGTTATTTCCTCCGTTCTAGTCGCGTTCTTTATAAAATTAGGGTCAGCCCTGTTTTATATAAAGGTTTGGCTTGCATTAAACACTCATAATAATAACAATTTTCCAATTTATTTTGACGGATCTCTTTATTATTTTTAATAGTGAAGAACTGATAGCTGCTCGCAGACAGCGTACTTTCAATAGAGACTTTCAATGAACCGTAGACTGAGACAAAGACCGGCTCTTAGAACCAAATAGCGATCCTAGACTAAAGATGGCAGTGCTCTCATGTCGTACGAGTTGTGCTTGCGTGAGCCAGTGGTTTATATTTATACATTACGGGGGTTTACAATTTTTTAACGAACTATGGTTTTTTTATGGTTTAGTTTTTTTTTAAGAACTTTTTAAAATCTGGTATTTTTTTCATGGTTTTTTTCAGAGTTAGTGCTTCTATTTTTCACATAACATAACTTGAAAAGCTGACAAATGCAGCTATAAATCGGACCCAGACACTTTGTATCTGCAGCTTAACGCCTGGAAGATATTAAGCTTTCAAATTCAAATTTCATAATTTTTTTGCGTTATTTTTTCCCGAAATTTTGACTTTAAAAATTCGGGAAAAGTCGAAAAAAAATAATTCTTGGCCAACAAGAGTACTACAAAAATGTTTAAGTCCCGAAATCTATCAGAAAAAGTCATTTTGGTTCACAGCCTAAATAAAAAGTTCAATTTTGTTGAGTAGTGTAATCAAAAGCAGCAAATATACTTGCACAAATTGAAATTTTGTTCAGAAAACAATTTTTCGTACAAAAAGGTATAAAAACAAAATCGATCATAAAATTTTTTGTTCTACAGAATGACAATGAAATAGGCGCTCAAACACACACTTTTGGACCAAATTAAAGATTTGTTTGATTAATTTTTAATTCTTGAGGAACCTACATATTTGTAAAATAATACAAATTGTTTGTACAAACCATGCCACATTTTTTGGCTTTCATTTAAAAAGAAAAACAGCATGCAATTTGGTGAACGCGTTGCGTAGATATCCGGCTTACACACAGATACAGGTTTTTTTTTTACAAATTTATAGAATAGAAGATATTTGTGGATGAGGCAGTTCATACAACGAAAACGAAATACAGAACTTCTACTTTGAGAGCTTCCCTGTTCGGGTCAATCCGCTTTTACGCTCTGCATTTGAATCTATGCGTGGAGTCACGCATACAGGGACTTTAGGTTACTAATTTGACTAAAATTTAAACATCCATACTATTAATTGCTGCTTTGTTTCGATCTTATGTATATGCATAAAACTTGTTTTTTTATCTGTTTGGTTTTCCAGATCAATACACCTAGTGCTGATAAAAATATTTATGGAAATGCACAGTTTAACTCTAACTCTAACCAAGATGTAGGTAGAGTTCATACAGGCAATATTTCGGATAATATTTCCATAGGACCTAAGAACGCGGAACGAAACACACTGTTGAGAATATCTCATTTCTCATTGCAAGACGTTGAGTTTTTAGAAGAGCTGGGTGAAGGAGCTTTTGGCAAGTTATTTCATTAAATATTTGTTGTTGTTTGTGTAAAAACGAATGTATAAATAATTTCAGGTAAAGTATATAAAGGGCAGCTGACACAATATAATAAATCCGTCACTGTTGCTATCAAGGCCCTAAAGGAGAACGCTTCATTGAAAACGCAACAAGACTTTAAGCGTGAAATTGAACTAATATCGGACTTAAAGCACCAAAATATTGTCTGTATATTGGGGGTAGTCTTGAATAAAGAGCCTTACTGTATGCTCTTCGAGTATATGGCTAATGGTGATGTGCACGAGTTTTTAATTTCGAACTCCCCTAGTGAAGGTAAATCGCTATCACAGCTAGAATTCTTACAAATTGCATTGCAAATCAGCGAAGGCATGCAATATTTATCAGCGCATCATTACGTTCATCGAGACCTGGCTGCTCGTAACTGTTTGGTCAATGAGGGATTGATCGTAAAAATTTCAGATTTCGGATTGTCAAGAGATATTTACAGCTCGGATTATTATCGGTAAATAAATATTTATCTTTTGGCTAAATTTGCAAACTCAATTACATGTATATTTGATTTCTAAGGGTTCAGTCAAAGTCGTTACTACCTGTACGCTGGATGCCATCAGAGTCTATATTATATGGAAAATTTACAACGGAGAGTGATGTATGGTCATTTGGAGTTCTACTTTGGGAAATATACAGCTATGGAATGCAGGTAAATATTCTGTAATACGATTTGGATTTTCCATAAATATATTTAATCTTTTTGCAGCCATATTATGGTTATAGTAACCAAGAAGTAATCAGTCTAATTCGGTCGAGACAGTTACTTTCATCTCCAGAAAACTGTCCAGCCGCAGTTTATTCTCTTATGATAGAATGCTGGAATGAGCAATCAGTAAAACGTCCAACATTTACAGACATTTCGAACCGTTTAAAATCGTGGCATGACGGGCATATTAATTCAAGTAACTAAATAATTAATTGTAGTTTTATATTTGATATGATTACATATTTTCTAACCAGTTTAGTTAATATAAGTTTAAGTTTTCAATGAAATAAAAAACTTTATGGAATATTTCATTTTTTAACTATCAATTATTTAGTTACTTGGGATCACTGGCTTGGGTTCGATCAAGAGCCAGATAGTAAAATCATTGATCCACCAAAAATTCTCAATGCATTGCGCAGATCTTTTAAGGTTCGATCAATGTGCGTTTGTGCACCATTGTGCATTCGTTTCAGATGAAGATTTTTGACGCTACTAAAGCTATTGCCATTGCAGAGTGTTTTGCAGTGTTACATGTCGGTTGTTCAGGGGTTGAAGATTTAACCCCCCTACTTTCCAGAGTAATGAAAGAAACGAATTCAAATAATTTTTTCTAAAGTGAATTGCTGCTCTTGAACTTCAATATGTACTCAGAAAAAGTGCAAAAGCTTTCGTTTACCTGTAAGGTGAGAAAAAGTGAATGGAAGACTCTCTTGGGGGCTCCGAGTGTAAAAAAATTTCATTTCCAAATTACGAAGTTGAGTTTTATTTATTTTTATGATACTCTGAAAAACAATTTTTTTTTTGAGGTGCAACACAAGTTCAGTTTACATTTTGTGCAAATGCATTGTCGTTTGAGAAATTTTAAGTATTTGCACCATTTTCTTCCATTATCTCGATCCAACCAATCCGGAAAATGGTTTAGCTGGTCAAACCGCAAGTCCCATATTGAATGGTTCGCTTTTGCACCAAGTTTGAGGTTTAGCTGCGAAGGTCTCTGAGAGAGTGGAGATTGCATTGTCCACTCTGTCTGAGAGGATGGTGACTGTGTTGTCCGCCCTGATAGATAGGATGGAGACTGGGTTGTCCGTCCTTGTGAAGATCGATTGATTGGACTACCTGAAAAGTTTTTGGTTTGTAATGTCACCAGACCTTCAGCAATCGATTCGCGAAATTCCGGGAGTTCAAGCAATTTGCCCATGTTCTCTCTTTCCTTTTCTATACGCCTATATAAAACATAAGCGTTTGTTGCTGCCATATCAATCAAGTGGTAAAAAATTCGAATGGCAGCATCCCGCATTTTAGCTCTGATATGATAGCGGCCCATAAGTCCATCCATTAGGTCTACGCCACCCATGTGAGCGTTATATTCGCGAATAATTTGTGGGCAATCAACTTCGATATTTCGCTCAGATTTCCTGTCGTAACGAGCAGTCTTTGCTATTCCATCATGCAAATTAGCCCTTTCAAATTGCTGAACACCCACATTAGTCGACAACAAGCGAACTGCCTTGTTGTCTTTCCACAGCACATTACTTATTTCGACTCCATATGAGGAGCCTACGTACTCGGTCGAAAAACCCCATGGTTTGTTTTTGATAGTACTATCGTTTGGAAGCTTGCAATAAGGGATACGATTTACACGCACTGTACCAAGGCTATAAATACCTTTCGCACGCAGATAGACCATCAAAGGCAGCGACGTATAAAAGTTATCAAAGTAAATAATGTGGTGCTTGAAAGTTTGTACGGTTTTTGTTAAACGTACAACAATGTTGGCCGAAGCACCAAGATCTGGGTGACCAGGCAAGATCACGTTATCACCTGCGCCGCTGTATATCTCAAAGCGGTATGCATAGCCAAAAGAATCGCACAAAACAAATAGCTTTATACCCCACTTGTGTGGCTTATCGGGCATATATTGCCTCAAGTGGTGCTTCATTTTGGTGCTGCACATTTGCTCGTCAACACAAAGGCGGACTTGCTTTGGAACGGAGTCAAACCTTTGGTTAAGACAGTCGACAAGTTTTCGCGTGCGGAACAGTGGATCGTATCCTGGCTCACCCTTTTTGATCCGCTCGCTCTCATCGCGCAGTGATGGCGCAGATTGCGAAGATATGTTTGCTGAATCGTCCATAATTGGTAATGGCGATCGAGGCCTTATGGCGGTTTTCCGTGATGGCCCAGGTTCCTGTACCACATTTTGCACGATTTTCACTTGATATGTCTGACACTTCCTCATCCGACGGGACTGACTCAAACAAGTCCAGCAACTGTTCATCAGTCAAGACGGACAACTTGTAACGAATCCGTTTTGCCATATTTTCTAATACTTAACCTTTCTATTAAGAACGAGAAGGAACGTGTGAGTCGCTTCTGGGAACGCGACTCTACTTATACCCGTACTCAGTCAGTATATACATTTTTGAGCTTGTACATTTTACATTTTTTGCTTCATCTGCTATCTACATCTACAATGTATATTCTACATCTAACATGTAGATTGTACATGTTCCATTTAGATTCTACATCTCCTCCGCTAGGGGCTGCTCGCGCACTGAACGAGGCAGAGTGTGCGAGCGAGAAAGAGAATCAGTAGCGTGTTTCATTCAGGGGGAAACAACTGAAAATGAATTTCTTCATTCTGGCTACAATTATGATCCGATATGATTCAGATTCGACAATCTGGTAGATATGGGCATTCTCTACGATACTGCATTTTCAGTTTTATCGTATCTTTAAAATTGTGCCTGCCACAGATTTTCGTCTTTTGCGGGGGCGGAAGGGGGCTGGGCGAAATTCTGAAATACACTTTTAGCAGTGTGATATTACATAAGTCTGGAAACTAAATTTAGTTTCTCAGCTATTATAGTCTCTGAGATCTAGGTGCTCATCGAGACGGACAGACGGACTGACAGACAGACAGACGGACAGACAGACATGGCTATATCGACTTGACTATTGATGCTGATCAAGAATATATATACTTTATGGGGTCGGAAACGTTTCCTTCTCTGCGTTACACACATCCACTTTTGCCACAAATCTAATATACCCCTAAACTCTTTTTTGAGTACGGGTATAAAAATCATACAATAAACAAAAACCAACCCAAAAATTGAACGTAGCTGTGAAACAGCTGCTGACAAAAAAAGATAGCTTTGAGCCCCAAAAGAGCCTCCAGACACTTATCACTATTTTCTCAGCTACAACACACATATTTATTATATTTGAGTGCCTGTAACTTGATTTTAAAAGCTAATAAACATACCTTTCACGAAAAAAAATAATGAGCTCGATTCGTTTTATATATATACTTTAATCACCAAAAGAAAACATAAAATGCATCAGCTCAAAATTTACGCGTGAAATAACACATGTTCTGTGCACATGAACAAAAAAAATCATAGCTTAAATTATTTGAGAGCTTTCACGTAATTTCGTGTTTGTTGTTAACAGAAAAACAATATTCAAATGACGTAAAGGCTCTTAGTTTTTTAGATAATGCCAATAATATGATAAGTGTCTCAAGACACTCTTACGTGTTAGAGGGTGAATGGGAATTAGAACGCTGAATGAGCCGTACGGCATCCTCCTAACAACGTAGCCGCTATTTCAGAAGAAGCATCTGCTACCGCAATTTCTGATCTCGCACGAACAGTGGCCAAAATTAATGACATGGGGAATGTCTTTCCAGTTTCACCACGGGCATCCAGGAGAAATAAGCCGCCATTTCCATCATTAATGGTATCAATTAATTTATCATAGACTTTCTTCTGCTTTTGGTTCAAACGATAATGTCCGGACGTCTATATGCAATGACTGCACCATCAATTGGCCCAAGCCAAGCTAAACACAACTCAAAGAGACAAATATGCAAAGATAGCTAAGAAACAGTACTAATTACGGGAAAGAAATGTTAGTATTAGTGATTTAAGAAGAGGAAGGGAACTAGTGGTGGATATTATATGTAAGAGGGAATTGAAGTCCGAGCATAGGACCCTTGAATGTTTCGGGCAAGGAATAATTTGATAGTTTTTGGAAGGAACAAAGGAATAAAGTTTCTAATAGATCTAAGAGAAATCGTAAAGCTTATGCGGCTCTACAAGTCAGGGATATCTACGTCACCCTTGATTATGTTGTGCTATTCTATACGGTCCTAGTGTACTTTGTACTGGGGGCACCATACACAAGAGCCGTACTCTAAAATCGGACGAACAAGCGATATATAGAGAGTCTTCGTTATATCGGGCTCGTCAAATTCCTTTGACCACCACTTTATAAACCCAAGCACGCCCATGTCCTTATTTACCATGGTGGAAATGTGTTCAGAAAACTTTAATTTGGGGTCTAGTTTAACACCAAGATCATCAACCAAGGTAATTCTCTCAAGAGAACCACCGCAGAGGCTATAGGGAGCCAAAAGGTGGCTGAAGCGATGAAATGTCATTACTTTGCATTTCGAGGCATTCAGGTGTAACATATTTGCACAACACCATGACTGAAAGATATTAAGATCGGATTGCAAGCGAGAGTAAAATGAAATGTCCTTATACTGGACAAAGGTTTAACATCATCCGCATACTAGATTACTCGAGAGTTTGTTAATACTGAAGGCAGATCATTAATAAAGAGTGTGAATAGTAGGGGGCCTAGATGGCTGCCCTGTGGTACTTAACAGGTGAAGAGAAGGAGTTTTTGAAGAGGACTCTTTGAGACCGAGAACGAAGGTAGCTAGAAATCCATCTCAAAAGATGAGGCGGAAACCCTAAAAGGTCAAGTTTTTGTGCTAAAAGGGAATGGTTTACAGAATCGAATGCTTTACTAAAATCAGTGTAAATGACATCCGTCTGCAAGTTACCTTGAAAGCCTTTAATGATAAAAGAGGTAAACTCTAATCAATTTTTGGTTGTTGATCGTCGCCTTATAAATCCGTGCTGGGACGGAGATATAAGTGATTTGCAGAGATGTTGTAAATGCGGAGTTAAAATTTTTTCAAACATTTTAGGAATAGCGGATAACTTAGATATAAGTTGTAGCATGAAGAGTTAATGGATAGGCTGAATAGTTTAAGCAAGGGTCCACACAGAGCGTCGGGACAGTACCTAAGTACACAGCCGGGGAACTCCGTTGGGATCTGGTGAAAACACCGGCTTAGCTAGTCGAAGATCATGAAGCAGTGAGCTTTCATTTAACAAGGGGCTGAAGATGCCATTCGACCTTGGAGCTGTATGGATACGGCTGACCAGAGTAGCTTTCATAAGAATAGGTTGTTTGGAATAATTTGGCAAAAAGATCGGCAATTGCCTGATCATTGTTTGCTGACATATTGGGAAAAGATAACGAGGATGGATGTGCGGACGTTCAACGCTTACTATTTACAAAGCTGTAAAACTGTTTAGGGTCCTGTGAAAATCGTATCTGCATCGAGAAAGGTAGTCTTTATAGCATTGACTGTTAAGAACGGAGAAATTTGACCGAGCTATTACATAGTGAGAAAGAGAAGAGGGAGAACCAACTTCTCGAAATTTTTTATAAATTCTTGATTTTAAATTTTTTAGACTGGATAACTCTTTGGTAAACCAAGGAGATCTAACCGGACAAGAAAGTGGGACACAAGAATCAAAAAATGTATCAAGTACATTGTAAAAAATGCTTGTGCCTTTCATAACGTCAGTGCACAAGTACAGAGCGGACCAATCAAAATCCCTAATAAGGTTATTCAGCTTCGTAAACTCGGCTCTATGAAAGCAGCGGACACGTTCAGATAGCCGATCCAATACAGTAGGGCCAATATCGACACTTCGAATGTAGGATGGTAGGAGTCTTTAGGTATACTGAGCGGAACGGCTCGGGTTAACAACGCTATGGTCGGATCCGAGACAAAGCACAGATCAAGCAATCGACCCAAGGAATTTTTCACATGGTTGACTTGAGACAGGGATAGGTCTAGCAAGCCGTCGATAAAGTCATGTCGTGACATGGGCACAAGGTTATTAGATTCGTTTACCGAAGACCAAACAGCACCTGGCAAATTAAAATCACCAAGAACTATCATATGGTCTTTATCTGATAGCGAGGAAGAAACAGTTTTTAAAGCGGTCAGGGGATGCTCGTATATTAAGATATCCGAGGAAGGTGGAATATACGAGAATGTTTTGTAGAATGTTTGTAGTTATGCATTTTGCTGTTTTCGGAGTTACGCTCCTTTTAGAGTCAAGGGATTCTATATTTAAGTTAATGTAGTAGGGGTCGAGACACGGTCGAACACACCCTCCCCCCAAGTTACCGAAAGAGCACGGAACCGTTGAATCCCGACCGGCAGAGCCTCGATAGCCGAAGCGCCTACCAGCTTTTGCTAGGGCAACTGTACTAGTAATGTTGCATAAATTTGGCTAATAGTACGAGTATGTTTAAGCCTAGAAGCTGATCGTTAATTGTACTCCTTCAGCAGCTCGTTATTCGAAATGGCTTTGACAGCTAAAGGGTTCCTTTATTTTACATTATAACTAACAAATGTAAAACAAAATATCTGGGGGAACGATTGAGGAAGCTAAGCCTTATGGGCCTTGTGCTCCTCCTGCCTCCTGCTTACAAGTGGCTGTAAAACGCTGCTTGGGTTTTTGTTTGTCTCTTCTCCTTGTTTGGCAGCGTAGTGCTCTCGGTAGTACTTGAATGTTTCAAATCGAACTATTTTTAGCTCATCCTTGGTTAGAAAAGAATCCGTACCGTCATTGGAGCTGATCTCGCTCCGGATGACCACGATGGTCAGCAGCACGAAGATCACGTCCAGCGCAGCCAGCACTATGCTGGCTGTCCGATCGGTGCAGTACTCGTTCCAGCGCCAGTTTCCGGTGGCCGGGATCCATAACAGGTTGGCGAATGGAACTATCGGGAGCAGGAAGACCCAAAGAATTGCGCGCCCCACGGCCTCACCCGAAGCGCTTCGCATGGCGGCACTGGCCACAGCGATGCCTGAGAGGGCATATATGATTGTGCAAGATATCTTGAAGATGGCTTCGTAGGAGCTGACCATGGTGTAGTGGTTCAAGTCCATTGGCAAATAGGGACAAAATTCTGCTGTGGCGACGGCAGCAGCCAGCGAGAGGACGAATCCAACCAGCTTCATGCCCATCACGCGGCCGCTGGTGGCGAGGACAATGGACCAAAAGAGTGGCCACAGCAGCAGGCAGCTGGACAGCAGCAGCGCAGCCTTCTCCCACAGGCAGGCACAGGAGACCAGAGCGCTGGTCAGCAGCACCAGTCCCATATCGATAATCGCTAGCTTGTGACGCGATAGACGCATCTGACGCGTCACCTGTGCCATGAGGAACTGCTTCTGGCTGTGGTTCAGCTTCACTCTGCCTTGAGACTGTTTGGAGGAATTACTCTTCGTGGATTCTGTGTTCTTCCTTGCCTTTGTGGTCGTCTTGATCTTGTTGGTCGCCGTGATCATCAGTTGATTGTCCCTCTCGTCGATGGAATCCAGCAGTGCCTCAACATCCTTTTCCTTCGACTTCAACACCTTCTCGACCCGCACTTCAGTCACCTGCGAGCCTCGCTTGTCAGAGAGTGCCGCTGGGAGCACAGTCTGGAAGGGCTGCTCCTCGACGTTCGGTTCCATCTTGTTCATGTGCTCGGGATAGTAGGAAAGTATCTAAATAAGTCTAGTGCTAGGCTCTAGGCGTCAGGGGTTCCTTGGATCGAATGAAATGTGGGAGTTTTCCAGCCGCCAGACATTTAAAACAATTCCGACCAAACGATGCCCGGAAGCAAATGCCACGACCACACTCGATTCAACTTGCTAATTGCATTTATGCATTATTCAAAATAGTTAGCAGTGGCAGTGGATGGAGCAGCAGCAGCCAAAAGCACAATTTGAAACTTTTGCCAACGATATCAACTATGTATTTAAAACAGAAATTAGACACGGCACCAACCAGCAGCAGGAGCAGCATCAGGAGCGGGCGGCAGTATGAGCCAAACAATGCTGACAAGGCGCGCCCAAAGGGCGGCGAAAAAATCACAATCACGCAGAGAAGGAATTGTTTTCGACCCCATAAAGTATATATATTCTTGATTTGCATATTTATGCTGTTGCTATCGGCTATTGAGCCGAGTCGATATATGATCTGTCTCTCAGCCATGGACCAGCGCGCTGCATCGTGGCGAGTTTCTGAAGCCATTTCTTGTTGCTCCTTTCACGGACTAATTCATTTTAAGCAACGCACACAGAACCACACTCGATCCAGTTCACACAGGGATGATACCAGAATCAAACAGACACACACTGGTCACATAGATTTTCACTTAAACTCATTATTCTCCAACATATACATATGTAGGTTCAAGCCATATCAGTGGATGTTAAGGACAAGCTTCAAAGCGGGATGTATAGTTTAATTCAGAAGAGGGGCAGAAGCAAAGTTTGGGAATTTTTCTCAAAAATTAAAAACGAAAATAGAGAGAAAGTCGATGAGCTTCTAGCCTGTAAGCTGGGCTTTGCTACCTTTAAATTTGCGGGAAGCACATCTAACCTTGTAAAACATAAATGTTACATTATGAACTCCAGTAAATTACGCAACGCTACCCAAATTGATGTCAATCCCGAAACGAAACAGGAGGGTGTTGCTGTAATAACCGAATGGGTTGTTAAGAACTGTCGTTCATTCAAAATTATTGACAATTCCGGACTCAAAAAGTTTGCATCCTTTCTGATTAAAGTTGGAGCCACCTATGGTGCTAATGTAGACGTTGACAAGCTATTACCCCATCCAACAATAATATCACGATATATTTCAATACGAGAAAGCTCCTGCACAGGTTTGTTATCATCCAATCTACAAATTGAAGAAGTTTATTTTAATTGTATTTATAATATCTACTAGGTTTTCATATCCGTGAACAAATTCGAGAGATATTGAAAGACTTTGGATGCGATCTTGAACTGGACAATCCCATAATTGTAACAGATCGGGGTTCGAACATGATCAAAGCCTTTGGACAAGATGGAAAAAATTCATTGCATCAACCACCTGCTTAACAACTCAGTTAAAAAGGCCATCAATGCTGTTTCTGAGATGGGGGAGCTCGTTACTGTTTACAAGCTTGTAAAATATTTTAAGAAGTCTGGATCAAACTCTTGCTTAGGGCTGTTTTTGCCCAACTCGCTGGAATACAGTTTTTTATTTGTTTAAATCCATCGAAATTAATTGGATTGACATTCAAAATATTTTAATGGAGAAAAATCAGATAATTAGGATGGAAGGTATAAATTTAAATCAGTTAAGTCATGTTGTCCGACTGTTAGAAGTCTTCGAAAACGTTTAAAAAAAAACTTGAAGCAAGCAAACGTCCAACCATACACTTTATAGTTCCGAACATAAACAAATTAAAGAAAACTTATCTGTCCGATAGCAACGATTATAACATAATTAAATCATTTAAATCCGTACTTAAGACACACATTTTATCAACAGTACATCCAAATTTAACAAAATACCACAACATACATATCTCTTTTTCTTTTCCCACCTACGAACAAACTAATACTATTTTCACCAACCGAAAAAACAAAAGTCATTAATGACTGTAAACAAATTATGACCTCTTTTTTGATAGACACTGTGTTAGAAGCGTCTGAAAAGCCTGCGACAGAAGATGAATTTTCTGAATACATTGAAGTACGCCAAGTAGACAGCTACAAATACCAAGCAGAATAGGAAATAATAGGATAAAGCTAGTGGCGTAGCTACGTACGTGCAAGATGGTGCGGCGCACCGGGGCCCCCAAGCTCATGGGCCCAGACTCTGACCAAAAAATCTCTCACTCCTCACTTCTGTTTGAAATGCAAGCATGAATTCGACTTGTATAATTAAGCGTCGTTTAAAGTATTCTTCATAAAATTCTATGGAGAAACGGCTGGAGTAACGTTCCAAACGGTAAGTATGATTTTCGGAGGGTTTATCAACCAATTTCAGATGAGCCTTTTCTTCATTAATTAATATGCACCTATAAACAACAAAAAATAAATTTAAAAAAACGAGAAGGAACGTGTGAGTCGCTTCTTTGGACGCGACATTACTTTTATACCAGCATTCAGTCGGTATATTAATTTTTGAGCTTATGATGATGATGTTCCCCAACAGCATGGGTCCAATAGGATGGGTTTCAGCAATATGATGGGCTTCTGATTTTAATAATAAAGACTACTGCTCTCCTTTTCGTGCAGAGAATTACTGAAGTTTTCATTTCATCTTTTCCCTCCTTAAAGGCTGAAAGCTTAGTATATAATGTACATAAAGTGTACATTGCGAAAAGTAAGGCAAGAGAAAGATTGTAATTTTGTTAAATGTACAATAAAGTTTTTTGAACACATACATTTTCAAATAAATAATTCGATTAACCTCATGACCTAATGCCAAAATTGTTAATCAACAAAGCCCACACAAAACCCTCGTAATGATTAAGTATCTGACTTTAGGTTGGGCCCTAATTTTTTTTTTTGCACCGGTGCTCTTTTCTATCAGCTACGCCACTGGATACAGCAACATTAACGTAATATACACACCCGACTTTGACTGTTTAGCGTGGTGGAATTTTCACAAAGATGAAAACATCAAACCCCTGTTGCATAAAACAAGCTTGAAAAACAAGCGAGTAGTGCGGCTTCTGAAAGAGCTTTTTCAGATGCCAGATCACCGAAAAGCGTTGCCTATTATCTACCAATCCAGAAAATATAAACAAAATTATGTTTCTTGATGCCAACTTAGTTTAAATAAAAACTATACAAAAACTATATTGCTCTTATATTGCAACATTAACGTAATATACACACCCGACTTTGACTGTTTAGCGTGGTGGAATTTTCACAAAGATGAAAACATCAAACCCCTGTTGCATAAAACAAGCTTGAAAAACAAGCGAGTAGTGCGGCTTCTGAAAGAGCTTTTTCAGATGCCAGATCACCGAAAAGCGTTGCCTATTATCTACCAATCCAGAAAATATAAACAAAATTATGTTTCTTGATGCCAACTTAGTTTAAATAAAAACTATACAAAAACTATATTGCTCTTCCTTATTTTCTTTATTATCCTTGATTCTTTTGCTTCCCTTACGTACACAAAAATGTGTTGACCCAAAAGCAGCAAAAACGAGAAGGAACGTGTGAGTCGTTTCTGGGGACACGACTCTACTTATATCCGTACTCAGTCAGTATATACATACACTTTTGAGCTTATGATTTTTTAGAATTTTAGAAAAAAAAAAAAATTTTACATTTTACATTTTTTTGCTACATATGCTATCTACATCTACATATAAAATGTTTATTATACATCTAACATGTAGATTGTACATGTTCCATTCATATTCTACATCTCCTCCGCTAGGGGTTGCTCGCGCACTGAACGCGGCAGAGTGTGCGAGCGAGAAGGAAAATGAGTTGCGTTGTTGTGCTCAGGAGGGGGAGGGGAAGCAACTGAAAATTAATTTCTTCATTCTGGCTATAATTATGATCCGATCTGATTCAGATTCGGCAGTCTGGTAGATATGGTCATTCTCTGCGATACTGCGTTTTTAGTTTTATCGTTTCTTTAAAATTGTGACTGCCACAGGTTTTCGTCCTTTGTGGGGGCGGAAGGAGGCGGGGCGAAATTTTGAAATACACTTGTAGCAGTGTGATATCACATGAGTCTGGAAACCAAATTTGGTTGCCCTAGCTCTTATAGTCTCTGACAGACAGACAGACAGACAGACAGACAGACAGACGGACAGACGGACAGACAGACATGGCTATATCGACTCGGCCATTGATGCTGATCAAGAATATATATACTTTATGGGGTCGGAAACGTTTCCTTCTCTGCGTTACACACATCCACTTTTACCACAAATCTAATATTTTGAGTACGGGTATAAAAAAAAATAGAATGTATTTGAATGAATTCGGAAACTGCCCTCACTCAACTCATTCAATTCGTGCCTTTTCGTTTCAATGTTGTGTGTATGAGTTTTACGTCAGCGCACTCACTCACTCAAACTCTGTTGACATAGCATTCGAATTCACTCACGCACTCACTTCGCTCCGGATGCCCACGATGGTCAGCAGCACGAAGATCACGTCCAGCGCAGCCAGAATTATTATGCTGGCTGTCCGATCGGTGCAGTACTCGTTCCAGCGCCAATTTCCGGTGGCCGGGATCCATAACAGGTTGGCGAACAAAACTATCGGCAGGAAGCCCCAAAGAATTGCGCGCCCCACGGCCCCACCCGAAGCGCTTCGCATGGCACTGGCCACAGCGATGCCTGAGAGGGCAGATATCATTGTGCAAGATATCATGAAGATGGCTTTGTAGGAGCTGACCATGGTGTAGTGGGTGAAGTCCATTGGCAAATAGGGACAAAATTCTGCTGTGGCGACGGCAGCAGCCAGCGAGAGGACGAATCCAACCAGCAGCAGGCAGCTGGACAGCAGCCCCGCAGCCTTCTCCCACAGGCAGGCGCAGGAGACCAGAGCGCTGGTCAGCAGCTCCAGTCCCATATCGATAATCGCTAGCTTGTGACGCGATAGACGCATCTGACACGTCACCTGTGCCATGAGAAGCTGCTTCTGGCTGTGGTTCAGCTTCACCCTGCCCTGAGACCGTTCGAAGGAATTACTCTTCGTGGATTTTGTGGTCTTGTGGTCCTTTGTGGTCGTCTTGATCTTGTTGGTCGCCGTGATCATCAATTGATTGTCCCTCTCGTCGATGGAAGCCAGCAGTGCCTCAACATCCTTTTCCTTCGACTTCAACACCTTCTCGACCCGCACTTCAGTCACCTGCGAGCCTCGCTTGTCAGAGAGTGCCGCTGGGAGCACAGTCTGGAAGGGCTGCTCCTCGACGTTCGGTTCCATCTTGTTCATGTGCTCGGGATAGTAGGAAAGAATCTAAATAAGTCTAGTGCTAGGCTCTAGGCGTCAGGGGTTCCTTGGATCGAATGAAATGTGGGAGTTCTCCAGCCGCCAGACATTTAAAACAATTCCGACCAAACGAAGCCCGGAAGCAAGTGCCATCGATGGTATTTTGGATACTTAATGGCCATCCGTCCAGCAGGGTCGCCCCAAGCAGAGGCAATCCCCCAAAGTGTCATAAATGGTAGCTTGCAATAGATGACACGGTGAACATAAATCACTATAAGAGTAAGGGTAGCAGCATTGGGCTGGCTGGCTGACTGGCGTCCAGCTGGCGCCATATGTGGCTCTCGCGTGAGACCCAAAAGTGTGACCGGGTTCACCGAAACACCGTAAAGGACACGACCACACTCGATTCAACTTGCAAATTGCATTTATGCATTACAGCAGTGGCAGTGGATGGAGCAGCAGCAGCCAAAAGCACAATTTGAAACTTTTGCCAACGATATCAACTATGTATGTAGATAGTTTGTTTGCTTAATGGCAATTTATTTATAAGTATGGATGTTGAACTTATTATATATATTTCTTAGCTCCAAGTACAATTTGTGGTACAGTTATGTTCTTAACTTATGTGTGTGATTTTCGTACGATGCGTGGCTGAATTACGACTGACTGTCTCTGACTCTCGACTTCGACTGATCTCGCTTCTTTGCTCTCGGCTCTCTCAGAGCCGAAGGCTGCCTATACAGACGACGCGACGAAACTACGGCCGCTTCGTGTCTCTCTCGGTCCACCATAACCTACATGTATGTGGGATTTGGTGAGAAGTCCCAGAGAGCAGCAGAGTCTGTTAAGCTATTAGCGCCCGTAACAGATAGAGAGACCAGAAGCGGCAGTCGAAAGAATAAAGAGAACAAGAGTTCAACGATCGACGCCAGACAGTTCGGTGCCAAAGTTTCTCTCGAAAACATGCAAGAAGCAAAAGCGCAGCATTCTATTATATCCAATATTATAACCTCGTTTAAAATATACACCCATTGTAACCAGAGCAAATATCTAATAATAATACAAATAAAACATTATATATAATAAACACTGTCGTCCTGGATCATTCTAATAACTGCGGAAAACCCGGGGCAATATACATTTTTGAGCTTATGATTTTCTAGAATTTTATAATTAAAAAAAAAAAAATTTTACATATTACATATTTTTGCTACATCTGTTATCTACATCTACAATGTATATTATACATCTAACATGTAGATTATACATGTACCATTTAGATTCTACATCTCCTCCGCTAGGTGTTGCTCGCGCACTGAACGCGGTAGAGTATGCGAACGACAAAGAGAACGAGTAGCTTTCTGGCTGAAGTAGACGGGGGAAGCAACTGAAAATTAATTTCTTCATTCTGGCTATAATTATGATCCGATCTGATTCAGATTCGGCAATCTGGTAGATATGATCATTCTCTACGATACTGCGTTTGCACAAATCTAATATAACCCGACCCGATAAAGTATATATATTCTTGATCAGCATCAAAAGCCGAGTCGATATAGCCATGTCTGTCTGTCCGTCTGTGTGTCTGTCTGTCTGTCTGTCTGTCTTTTTGAGCGCCTAGATTTCAGAGACTATAAGAGCTAGGGCAACCAAATTTGGTTTTCAGGCTCATCTGATATCACACTGCTACAAAAGTATTTCAAAATTTCAAAATTTTCAGTTGATTCCCCCGCCTCTTCCAGCAAAAGGCCCGTTACTCATTCTTTTTCTCGCTCGCACACTCTGCCTCGTTATGTACGCGAGCGCCCGCTTTCTGAGAAGATGTAGAATCTAAATGGTACATGTAGAATATACATGTTAGATGTATTATATAAATTTTAGATGTAGATAACAGATAAAAAAAGACTGCGGCAGGAATTTTTCGTTTACGTTTTCCTGGAGTGTGTATCCAGCAACACGAGCGGAATCCACAGATTTATATCGATAGTTGCATATCGGGACCGTATGTGGACTGAGGGAACAGCTGACACCCAGCTCAGGAATATATGTTCAACAATTATTCCTGAAGTGAATGGTGCAAGATGTAGGCAAAAACTGTTCGCAAAACAAAAAATAGAGATGCAAATTATTATTTTTTGTTAAGCAACAATGTATGCCGCCACCAACACAATCACTTGATCGTAAGAGTGAATTTTTTCCTTTTTTAATTTCAGTTGAATTTCACAATCGGCTCTGTTTACAAAACACAGCTGATTCATCAACCCTGTTTTAGCTATGTTCCACACCCTCACGGAATAACTAGTAAATTCCTCGCCAGAATTTTCCGCGGTGCTGGAGACAGGCCTTAAATCATAAGCTCAAAAATGTATATACTGACTGAGTACGGGTGTAAAAGTACAGTCGCGGCCCCAGAAGCGACTCACACATTCATTCTCGTTTTTGCTACATCTGTTATCTACATCTACAATGTTGATTTCACATCTGAAATGTTGATTATACATAGACAATGTAGATTCTACATTATCTCCGCAAGGGCCGCGCATTGCACAGGGCAGAGTGTGTGCGAGCGAGGAAGAGAATGACTAGCGTGGTCTCGTGCTGGAGAAGGTGGGGGAAGAAACTCAAAATTAGTTTCTTTGCTCTTGCTATATTAATTATCCGATCTGATTCAGATTCGGCAGTTTGCTGGTAGATATGGGTATTCTCTACGATACTGCGTTTTTGTTTTGTCGTACGTTCAAAGTTGTGGCTGCCACAGATTTTCGTCCATTGTGTGGTCTGAAGGGGAGGGGCAAAATTTTGAAATAAACTTGTAGCAGTGTGATATCACATGAGTCTGGAAACCATATTTGGTTGCCCTAGCTCTTATAGTCTCAGAGATCCAGGCGACAAACAAGACGGACAGACAGGCATGGCTCTATCGACTCGGCTATTGATGCTGATCAAGAATATATATACCTTATGGGGTCGGAAACGTTTCCTTCTCTGCGTTACACGCATCAACCCACACATCTAATATACCCCTTAACTCTTTTTGAGTACGGGTACGGGTATGCCATAGAAAAAAATGATCACTAAGAGGCTGTCCATATATTACGTAATCACGTTTTCGATGATTTTTGACCCCCTCCCCCCTGATAATCAAAAGTAATCATTCAAGGAACCCCCCCCCCCCATGATTACGTAATCACAAGAAAAAATATATATATAAACAAATTTGGTTGCATTTGGTACTTACTGGCGGAATAATCAGCGCGAAATAAATTTTTGAATAAATACTTTCAATAAAAAAAAACTCTTTAAAATGATAACGTAATCATTGTCCAAGACCCCCCCCATCCCCATGTAATCAAACATAATCATTTCCTTGACCCCCCCCCCTAGGTGATTACGTAAAATATGGACAGCCCCTAAGCATGTTTAAAGCCCGAAATCTATAAAAAAAAAGTTGGTCTGGTTCGAAGCGGCGATATCGTGTCGGGTAGTGTTATTTATGCCAGAGCTGTATGCGGTTTTTGTGATTTACTGCCCATGGCAATAATGTGTAGAAATGGGTTGTTAATTCTGTTTTGGCGTTTTGAAGCGAAGCCAACTCTACCAATTGACTAATTAATATTAATAATAAAATATTAATTTATTGAAAGAGGATTAGCAACTATCTGCTAATATAAACTATGATTAAAATTTAAGGAAAAAAAGGGGATATAAGAAATAATTAATAACTAGAGGATTGTAGGTACAGGTACAGTTGTGTTCAATGAAATAGTAGTGCCGCACCTCATCACTTTCAAAACTCTTTTTGAGATATTTCTAGTCTTTCAAATTGAACAAGTGATACCTTTTTAAATAGACTGGACTGTTAGCATTAGAAAACCGAAGAAATGTCCATACATTTGAATTCCATCTTTTTGTTTTACGTGACATAAGCCGAATACCCATAAAATATGCTGTTCAATGAAATAGTAGTGTTTTTTTAAAACATTAAAAAAAACAACGAAACTCAAATAAAAACATATATTTCATGTTCTTTATGTTTCTTGAGCTTTAATATTTAGTTTTTAATCAATTTGGTTTTCATTGCGAACTTGCACCGGCCGGATATAGGTCATTAATCTCTTGCCAACGCTTCAATAGGATTTGAGCCAATAATCCATGAACCACTTGCTAAAACTTGGCTCTGGTTCACGGATTTGCGGTGTCAACAATGTATTTGGTATTCCAGCATAAGATTTCGATGAGATTTATATCCAGTTGGACAGTTGGCCATGGAAAAACGTCGATATTTTCCGATAAAAATCAATTCCTAGCGAGCTTTTCTGGGTATTTTAACTCATCCTGTTAAAAGATCCTTTTAACATGAATTTTTCAACTGTAATATGAATGTAATGTATTCTAAAGTATACCTACATACACAGTTTCGCTCAAAACCATAATATACTCAAACGCCAGGCTAGAAAGTACTAGCTAGAAAGTACTCCTAGCATGCCCAAAGCTATATTTTTCATGATTTTAGGTGGTAATCGGATTTCTGTGAATGCCAAACATAATCTTTTGAGTTTATCTTACCGTATAATACAGCTTTACTATCATCAGTCAAAAGCATCTTTGTCACTGTGAACACAGGCCAGACCACATGCGTTTTTCCAAACTGAAGTCGTGCACCTATGTACTCTCAAATCCAAACGCGGAGCTTTCTGGGACTTCTTGCATTCAAATAATGTATAATATACCGTCTAAGAACTGTCACATCACTGACAGTGCGATTTAAAATGTTTTTCATAATTTTTGAGGATATTAAAGGCCTGGTCTTGCCTTCGACCATCCTCTAAAAAATAAGTTTTTCGCATACAAAATCGATTTCCAGTCTACTTCTTTTAGTTAATTGGGTTAATCGGCTAAGCGCCGGCCCTAATCTAATGTCTTTCTTCAGTAGCGTTGTTTTGCAAGATTATTTAAGAGACGATGATTGTTCAGTTAATATATTAACAATTTAT